GAGCGCTCGCCGCAGCCCTGGCCGCCACTCCTCCTGCTCCTGCTCCTGCTCCTGCTCCTCGCTGTGTCTCTCTCTCTCTCTCTCTCTCTCTCTCTCTCTCTCTTTTTGTCTCTCTCTCTCTCTCCCCCTCCTCGCATCCCCCTCCTTCTCTCTCTCTCTCTCTCTTTTTTTTTTTTTGTTGAAATCGAGGTAACTCGTCCCTGTGGCGCCCCCAGACGCTGTCGTTAGGGCGGGCCTGGCCTTTTCCCAGGATCTTCTTCCTCATCACGTTTGATCCTGAAGCTTGTAACTTGTAACTTGTAGTCGCCATCACCGTCGCCGCCGCCGCCGTCGGCGTGATTGCCGTCCTTCGGAATGTCTTCGGAGTTTTTGGAGGAATTCCTGGAGGTTTTCGAGCGCTGGGACTGTTTCCATTAGCTACGTCTCGTCGAGAGCCTTCCGGGGAGCCCATAATTGTCACGAAATGCCTTTGAGGCCCAAGGTATGGCCCGAAAACCAACCAGGAGTAGGAAAATGGTCAGGTTCGGGCGTCGTGGAACAATGACGACAGTTCCAGCCTTGTGACACTCACGGACCGACCTGGCTCGATATGTGTTGCACGGAGACGATGTCGAGGGCTCCAGTGGTGCTTGCTTGCGACGCTGTGCTTTTCCAGGACGTCTAGTCTCGGGGTTGGGGTCGGCCTTCAGTCAACCACGGTAATCAATAGACAGGCGTCAAGGCTGCCTCTTGCATCGTTGCCCGTTCGGCCCATCCTTCCTGTTCGGCCCCATAGTGGCTTGCATCCTAATGCTCTTACAGCTCAACTCCTTATTCGAATACCCCTCCGCCTCTCGTCTTCCGTATTGGTGATGTCTTTGCCGTTCTCCTTCCTCCTCTGGGTCTTTGTCTTGGTCTTGGTCCTGTGGCGCTGATATCGTGGCGGTAATCCCACCTAGCTATTCCTCGTCCCATTTTCCTTTGCCCATGCCCTCGCCCTCTTTTACCTTTTCCTTCGCGTCAGGCCGTAGATTCGAGGATATCTTGACCGTGGACAGGATAAGTTCAATCGTGCGTTATCCAGTGATGATTAGTTCTCCCTCCTCTGAAAGACGCGTCGCCCCTCCAGCGCCCCTCCCAAACGAGCAGGGCGAAGGGGGAAGAGAATGGGGGAGATGATGAGACGTCTCTATCACATGCCGTGCTATCTCTTTATCTGAGTAGTGCCGTCGCGTCTGGCGGGTGTCGTGTGCGGTACGTGTTGGTGACGCTCTCAGTCGCTTGCCAACGGGTGGAAGCCATGGGCTTTAAGAGGTGTCCGTTCTACTCCTTCTCCTTCCCCTTTGTGCCCCTCGTCCCTCGTCGATCCTCCTTCCCTTCACCCGCATGCCTTTCCTCTTTTCCCTCCTCTTCAGCTGCTTTCTTTTTGTCCTTGTCGTCGTCGCCGCCATTCCGCTCCGGGAGCATCTACGTCGTTATTTGTAAGTGTATTCTTGATGCTTCGCGTATCCCCACCAGCTGGATGCGTGTTCTGATGCTGCGACGGTTCGCTGGCGCTGTCAGAGTACTTTCCTTGCTGGACTGCGTCACCAGTTTCAGTCTGCTCATACCCGTCAGACTCCCTGGACTGACTTCCCGCATGGAGATCGTTCCCTACCTTTGGTCGTCTCGATACGATCACGGCGGGAGCGCCCAGCGCGCCATTTTGGCCGCGCTTGGCTCCCCTCGGTGGCTGGCCTCTCAGACTCCCTGGGTTTGCCGTTTGCACGTTTACCTCAGGGGCTGTTCTTGCAGACTCCCTGGGATTGCACGCCCGCTGGCCTCTCAGACGCCCTGGGTTGCCGCTGCCCCGCCGCCTGACCCGCGGCTCCGCGCGCGCCCGCTAGTTAGTCGCGGCCGCAGCCCGACCGTGACCGCTCGCCGCTGGCGCTTCCGCCTGCGGCTGTTAAAAACAAATATCCCCACTAGCTGCACACACGTGGGCTTTGTTTGGTCGAGTTGGCCGCTCGGACTCGCGTTTTGCCCGCGGCATGGCACAGTGCCTTGCTGTCCGTTCAGGCCTCGCTTACGGTGGCGGTTCGGCTGGAGCTTGGCGCCGCAAGGGCGACTTCTCCTCCCGCCCCCTCGAATTCAGTTCATTTTGTTCCGTGCACGTGCACCTGCGTGCTTCCTCGCAGGAGCGAGTTTTGCCCGCCTCTGCGGCGGCAATCTTCTCGTTAATTCGTAGGTACCTCGCCCCGGACTTACTTGTCCGCTCCCTGTCCGCCGCCTCGGAGCCGCCAACCAAAAAAGTATCCGCACCAGCAGTTCGACAGCTTAGGTTCGGCCTTCGGTCCCCGTGCGCTTGGCAATTAGGTTCGCGCGTAGCCCGCCCGACCTCTGACGGTGCTGGCGCGCTCGCCTGCGGCCGCGACGAAAAAAAAATCCCCACGAGCTAGTGTTCGGACGGCTTTCGACCTGCTTCGCGAGCCCGCAGACCAAACAATATCCCCACCAGCCCATTCAAAACCGACGCCCAGGCGAGTTGAGACGATCAGGGAAGTGTAGGAGCAAAGAAGGGGACAGCCGTTATCGATCGATGGAGGAGGAGAAGGAGGTGGAGGAGGAGGAGGACGACCACTTTAAACCTAAGGGTCACCAGCGATGTTGGCATAAGCCCTACCTCCAAGCTCCCTCTTCATAGGCCCCTACAACGGTTCATTTCCACATATGGATCTGCTTCATTCGAATACATCCGTTTGAAGACCTGGAAACATGCTAAAACATTGTTCTCGGTATTCCAACGCCACTCTTGCGTCTTGACGATCCTGAATCGTGCCATAACGCCATTCTCGGGACTTCAAGAGTCATCGTAGTTGTTGCGCCCCCATAATCGTGAATCCTTCCAAAACACAAATTCTGGTACGTCGATCGCGGGAATCCGTGAAACTCTTGCAAGTTTCTAGCAAAAATGCCCGCGGCGCTAAGGCGAGAGCCACATTTGGAAAAGGAGCCGCCCCCAATCCGTAAAACCCATGCAAATTTTGACATGTAATGTGTGCGGCGCTAAAGCGACTGCCACATTTTGAAAAAGGAGCCGCCTTCAATCCGTGAAGGTCTTGCAAATTTTGAAAACGAATGTGCGCGGCACTAAGGCGAGAGTCACATTTTGAGAACCATCCGCCTTTCAATGCGTGGTGCAAATTTGAAGCCGAATGTGCGCGGCGCTAAGGCGAGAACCACATTTTGAAAACCACCCGCCCTTAATCTGTGAAGCTTTTGCAAATGTTGAAATTGAATGTGTGCGGCGCTAAGGCGAGAGTTACATTTTGAAAACGACCCGCCCTCAACTGTGAAGGTTTTGCAAATTTTGAAATTGGATGTGCGCGGCGCGGCCAGAGCCACATTTTGAAAACCACCCTACCCGCTCTCCATCTGTGAAGCTGTTGCCAATTTTCAGCTTCAGGGTCATAAATGGTGAGGAAGTCTCGGCGAAACGCCGGAACCGCCCTAAAAACTGGCCTCGGGGTGCGGCAGGGAGAAGTTATTCATACGGAGCAGGAGTGGAGGTGGAGGAGGAGGAGGAGGAGAAGGAGGAGGAGGAGGAGGAGGAGGAGGAGGAGGAGGAGGAGGGAGGAGGAGGAGGAGGAGGAGGAGGAGGAGGAGGAGGAGGAGGAGGAGGTGAGGAGGATGAGGAGGAGGAGGAGGAGGAGGAGGAGGAGGAGGAGGAGAGCGAGCAGACGGGCCAGAGGTCTCTCGATTTTCTCTTGGAGTCTCCTCGGATGTCTCTTGGAAGCCTTATGCAGGCCTCTTGGGGCGCCTTGGGGGGCCTCTGCGCGGCTCCGGGTGCGTCTTTGAGTGTCTTGGGTGCCTCGGGGAGACTCTTCGGCCCTCTTGGGGGTCTCTTGAAGGCCTCTTGGGTGCCTCCTGGGCGCCTCTTGGGGCCTCCTGGGCGCCTCTTGGGGCCTTGTCGAGGCGCTCTTGGGAGCCTGAGGGGCGCCCTTGGGGCCATCTTGGAGGAGATCCATCAAAAAGGGGGGAGCTTCAATCAGGGCCCCCCTTCGGGAGCGCCTAAGATCGCCTCTTGGGCCGCTCTTGGGGCGCTCTTGGAGCGCCCTTGGACACTCTTAGGGCCATCTTGGGGCTCTCTTGAGCCTTTCTTGGGGTCCTCTTGGGCCCTCTTGGGGCCATCTTGAGGCCTCGGAAGGCCATCGAAAGCAAAAAGGCGAGAAGGCACAATTCATTGATTTTCATTAGTTGTCGAAGGATTTTGTCCTCTTGGCGGCCTCCTGGGGAGGCTCTGTGGCCACTTAGAGCTGTCTTGGAGCGGTCTTGGGGCCTCTTGGAGCATCTTGGAAACCATCTTGAGCCATCTTGGGCCATCTTGAGCCATCTTGGAGATCATCTGGGGCTCTCTGAGGTCCTCTTGGAGCCATCTTGGGCCATCTTGGACGCTCCAGCCCCTCGCGAAACGCCCCCTCCAGGGCCAGGGGAGGGGGTAAGGGAGAGGGGTCAAGGCACACTCCCACCCGCCCTCCCTACACATAAGTAACACCCGAGCCTGAGCATGTTCAGCGGTCGTCTTTGGATGGGCAGCTATCGGGAACCCAAGCCGACCCCAGGTGCACGACGCTTGGGCGAGGTGCGCCACGCGTGCCAGGGGAGCCACGCGCGCCAGGCACTCCTGGGGCCCGAGCGTGCCAGGCACGCCTGGTGCGCCGGATGCGCCACGTGCTCCGAGTGCGCCAGGTGTGCCGCACACTCCAGCCGCGACAGGTGCGCCGCGTTCGGGGCACGTGCAGAGTGCGTTAGGTGTGCCTGCGCACGTGACAGCACACATCGGGAAACATGTCAGCCCCCGCCATCCTTGTCGAAAACCGACGCCCGTCATTGTGTCTGCTGGGCCTGCGCACAGCAGGCCACGCGCCACCACCCCCGGCGTCCCTGTCAAAATCCACTTGACAGTGATCGTGGGATGGCCGCGCATGATCCAGATGTAGCCGCGAGGTGCATTTTTTTTTGTCAGGGATAGTAGCCCTGCG